AATTCACGCGAACCTTCAAATCGAAACCGTGCAACAGTTCGTCTCAAAGCTCCATGAAAACTTCAAAACTCGCGTCCTAAACCACCCAAACCCACTAAAAGACACGTTTACCCAAACTATCCCAAACCAACGATACCTAACCTCGACAAGTTTAATGGCTGACCCCCCCTGGAATCACCTGCTTAAGGCGGGTGATTCCCGACATCTCAAACCTCCTGGAAAGTACCTAAACTCTCTAACTCTTCCAAATTTAACACTCTAGGCCAACCGCCACAAACCACTACTTTTCTCGCTCCGTACCCCTACTTTTTTTTCTTTCTTCGTTCGCTCTCAGTCCCGCAACCACCAAAACCCACACTCCAAACCCACCAAGGCTCTTGCAGGCTACCAGCAAAGACAAAAAGCCTTAAATGGCTATGTCTGCGTCAAACATCACGTCACGTCGAGGGAGTTGCTCCCCAAGGAGCGTGAATGACCGAGTAGAAAAGGCATCTGCCCGGGTTTTCCAACCTCAAATCGTATTTATTTATGTTTTGTTCGTGAGTAACGGGTGTATCAATTTTTTATCGAGTTGTGCTTAATTTAGTTTTAAAATGAAAGTTGAGGAACTCAATAATATTATATTAAATGACTTGATAACTAAGGATGTGGATGATACCATGGAATAATTTGGGGCTCCAAGGCATCCTTGGGACAAGGTCCTTTGCTCTGACAAACCATGAATTTGTAAGGTTGTGTCCATATAATAAATAAGTCCAAAAATATTTGTAGAGAGTTGGTGGAGATGGTGTTTTATTATTCATTACATATACATTGGTTATCGATCCTACACGAAAATCAGCTTTGTCATTTCGGGCCCGATGTGAACAAATTCTCTCAGTGTTTCCTTTTGCTTGCCGATTGCGGCCTTGATTTTTCACAATTTGCAATAGATTCCATTGGCCTATTTCATTTTGCCTGAAAGCTACATTTACCTAATTCAGTCTCTTTAAGGAACATAGACTTATTTTGCGATTCAATGAGGTGCTGAATGCCCATTTGGCTACATATTTGAAATTACACTTACTTGCGAGCTTACTCGTGAGCGAGGAGAGACTCCCTGGGAGACTTCCGGGGATACGCCCTTCTCTCAAAGTCAAGAATAGACAGAAATGTCTAACTCGGTCTTCCAGGTCGGCTTAGTTCATCACTTGCTTTGGGATTCGGTGTTTTTGCATTCTTTGTATATACCATATTAGTTGTTTGTTTTTGATGTCATCTGTTATAGAATGCGTTATTCCCATCATTTCTCTCATTGCCTAGTTTTGTATGCGTTCTCTTGTTCATTCCATTTCAGTTGCTTTTACGCGTTTCTTCAAAGCTTTTTTCAATGACCACACTTCGGATCCGAAGGTGGTTATGGTCTTTCAATCGCATTATAAATCAGCCTTTTGTTTTCTTTGGTGAAGCGTCTGTCCCAAAGTAGTGCACTTAAAAGAGCGATCTTCTTTCTGCCTTGGCATATTCGGTGTTTGATTTCGGTATCGAGTCCGTCGTCGGTGATTTTAACTCCCAGGTATCGATATTCTTTTGCTTGTTTGATGGTAACTCCGCCTTCCATATCAAGATCGTTTGTTCTTCGTTTATCACCATTTACGCTATCTTTTGTGTGTTGATATTCTTCGATTAGCTTTCGGGTCATATAGCTCAAATGGTCTTGGTTTTGCGCGATTAGCACTTGATCATCGGCGAATGAGAGCATACAAGGTCGTGTCTGAGAGTGGTATACCCATACTTCTCTTTCCATTTCTTCAAGATTCCTTCCAGGTATATTTTGAATAAGGTCGGTGAGGTACAGACAGCTTCCTTGTTTCAATCCTGTTGATCCTATGAAGCCCGGTGTTATTTGTTTTCCTGATTTTATCTTCATTACGGGTTGTTTGTAGATAATCTTGATGGCTTTAATTAGCTCTACATTTATGTTCGTTTTCTCTAATACTTCCCAGAGTTTGCTTAATGAAACATCATCGTAAACTTTTTTCAGGTCCACAAATAAAAAGGAGATCGATTTGTTGGTTGCGTGCCATCTTTTTTTCTATAACTTGCGTTAGAATGAATACATAGTCCACGACTGATCTACCCGCATGGAATTCAGCTTGCTCTTCTGCTTCTATTCATTTGTATTCATTTTCTATTCTATTTTTCAGAATTTTTTCGTAATTTCTACACATAGTGCTTGTGTCCGCTATGCCTCGCATCTAAACTTATCCCCTTTTATTGGGCTAATCTTTGATATGTTCCATTTTCTTGGGATTTCCGATATATCTATACATTTTTGGATTAGTATTGCCAAATTTCTGTATAACTGTGCCATATTTGAGGAGCTCGCCTGGAATATTTCCCGGTTCCGGAGATTTTGCGTTTTTCAAATCTTTGGACACTTTCCTTACTTCGCCCATTGTTATTCTGAGTGATGACCCGATTACATTAATGTTGTCTGCGTTGTTCGATTCGTTTATATCTTTGAATTCCTGTCTATTTTCCGTGAGTAGTTCTTGCAAATACTGTTCCGATTGTTGTGGTTTAATTGGTGATATGATTTCTCTGTTTTTCTTGTTCCTGCGGCTTTTTATTATTTTCCAACTTTCTGAGCTTCTGCTTCCTCCTATCTAAGTGTTTATTCTTTGGAACCTCTTTTTCCAAGCACCGTTTTTCTTTTCACATATTTTCCTTCTCACCGGTGCTTGTACCTTTTTATATTCTGATAGAGCTTCTGGGTTTTTTGAATTCGGGTATTTTTGATATTTTTGTTTCTTTTCTCTTATCATTTCTTCAATGGTTGGAATCGTATTGGTGGGATGAAGAATCCCACCAATACGGTTTGTTCTGATTGCTCTTTTGTAGCTTCCTAATGCTTCGTACGCTGCTTCTTGAATGCATTTCTTGATACCTTCGTTTGATTGATTGAATCGTCCCTCGTCATTTTATTCTCTATTACTCCCTTCGGATGTTGGTTGTTCCTTTTTGAATGCCTGGAATCTGATGTTTGATTTTAGTAAGTAATGATCACTTCCAAATGTTGGTCTCCTCTGTACTCTTACGTCTTCTATCTTCAACTTTGTTGCCGTTTCACTATTACATCGTCTATTATGGATTTTGGGTTTCTTGCATTTTGAATCCACGTGCACTTGTGACTCTCCTTGTGTGGATAGAAGCCATTTAATATTTTTGTTCAATTAGTCTTTTTCCGTTGTTCGTTACTTCTTCGCAAATATTTACCGACCACGTTATTTCTTTCTTTTTTCCCTGTTTGGCTATTAAGATCTCCAAGAATTATCAGTTCTCGCGAATTGCCAATTTCAGTGATTTTCGCAGTAAGTTGTTCGAAAAAGCTATCTTTAAGTTACTAAAGTGTCATCGTTTACTGTGTATACCCCCAGAATTACTATTCAGTGTCCATGTATTGTCATATTCACCTTCATCATTCGTTCGTTTATGGCTTCCCACGTTGGGATGTATTTCCGCCACTTTCTATGTATTCGAACAAACACTCCCGCTTTCGCCCTTGCTTGTTTAGGTAAACCGCTGTAGAAATGATCGTATGTTCCTAGGCTTTTTGAGCCTTGTCCTTTCTTTTTTGTTTCAGTGATAACAGCTATAGCGACGTTTAGTGAAGCAAGTTTTTTAATATAGTATTCAGTTTCCTCGCGAGCCCTTGAATGTTCCATGTAGTAAAAATCGTGGTCCTTTTTCGTTGCATTTGTCGTCGTCTTTGTTCCTTCTTATTCCGAAGTTGATGATTGGATTCTTGAACAATTCATGTTTTTTACACTTTTTAAACATTCCATAAACAATACATTTCGCACACCTTGCACATATTTGTTGAATATTGCGTATGATTTTTACTTTAATATTAACTTTTTAAAAATACCGTTTTTTTTGTATTCTAATCACATGGAAAATAATGCTTACAATGATCTCTGTTGTTTCAGGGGAGCGTTTTCTACAGTCAAGTTTGCTGAGAGCAAAGCTAATCCAGGTGAAATGTATGCAGTGAAAATAATTGACAAAAAGGCTCTAAAAGGAAAAGAGGACTCTTTGGAAAATGAAATAAAGGTCCTGCGACGGTAAGAAGTGCTATTAATTAACGTGCCATAATGCCAGCAACTAAATGCTGCTGTTTATTTTATTACAACTAATGAGCTAATTACTTATAATTAATTATGCATATAGTTCGGTATTTCTGTAATAAATCTGGAGCATCTAATTATTGCTTCTGTTTTTTTTGGCCGTTATTTAAGTATTTGATGTTAGACTATCCAAATCTCAGATTAAACGGATGTAAAGTTTATGGTGTTTTACATTCATTAAGCCAATAATAATATTGTTCCACATACTGAGATACACAGTTTATTCAGGATTACTTTCTCATACAAAATTTGGCTGCAGTAAATATATTTATGGTCTACTGAAAATAACATTTCACTGGAACATACACAGCTGGATCTTAGATGTAACGGTATAAATTTCATGTATTTAACATTCATTGTCATTTCTCAGTACGGAACTGAAAAGTTTTGTTATAAAAACAGGTTGTTTATATTGACTGTAGTTAAAGGCAGATAAAAGCCAAAAAAGACTACTAAGTACGTCTTCATTTTCTTAACTAACGTCATGATAGTATCTATTTTTGGTGATATGAAAGTTAAACTGGATCAACACTTAGATGTTTAGCAAGGGTCAATACGAAACGTTATCAGCCATTAGAAGCCGTATAGAAAATAAACCCAAATGTTGTAATATTATTGATCAGAAGCCACTGTTGGCGCTATTTTGCATTGGCCTTAAAATTGCCTAATCAACGTACGAAGTCGAACTTTGAAAAACAACATTTGCTACGCAAAAGTCCGAATTGTGTTATTCGTTCCCAAAGAATATTTTCAGCTTGCTAAATATCGAATTATTCATACGATCTTTTCATACCAAGTTGCATCTTCCTTTATATACAGAATCGATTAAGTTACCGTTACCCTAATTATTAGTTGCTCTCGGAAGAGAAAGGTGTTCTTCCATACAAACCGATCCTATCAAATTATATGTATGTATTTATTGAAAGCACATTCTTATGAGAAAGCTTTTGAATCAGCACACGCCATACATGGCACGGTGTGCAATAATAATGGAACTATTAATTAAACATTGTATGTACGTATTATCTCGAACTTAGTAATTAATTGGTAGGAAACACATTAAAATTACGTAGACATGGGTTAAGTAGGTTAACGTTTATAGACGACGCGTCAGCACCAAACAATTTTATTTAATTCACAATATACAGGGGGTTTATTAATTGTATGAAAATATTTAAAAATCTGATTCTACCCGGAAAAGTAATGGCCATTTGCTTTGTAGTCGAAAGGTGTTTCGATGTGAAAGTATGGGTATTGGGAGTGGATAAAAACACACTTAAGGAAATATTTCCGAAACAGCTTGAGATGTTTCAGTGATTTTAGTAGCTAGTGCAATTTAAGAAAGACGCATGCTTTTTTCATGCAAATATTTTTGTTCGGCAAAATGCATGTTTACAAATAAAAATAATTCTTGAATTTTCTTGCTTGCTTTGAAAAATAAAAAAAGTCTCTTAAAATTAATGTAATTTTTAGAGCTTTCAAAAATTCTAATTGTCGAGAACCTCACATCCGCTGATTGATGCTTTAAATTTATTATTCCTATAATGGTGTATTATGGTGTACGTTCATATGAAATATATGAAAAATGAGAAAAATGCTATTTTTGTGCACCTCTCAAAGCATTGCAAGAGAGTGTATTTTTCTTCATTCAAGCGCCTAACGGGCTGAACGGGTTTATTTAGATTTTCTCGTTTATTTCAAGAAATGTTTGAAACAGGTGGTGTATGATGTTTTCGTCAATTTGAAGCCTGTGGATATGAAAAAATGCGATTTTATTCGCGTTTGTAAAATAAATCAATGGAATTATGTTAATTCCATTAACTATTCACATTTTTCCGTTTCTCTAGTTTTTCGGGTCTTTAGGCCGTCGTGGAAAATAATTTTTTCCTAACGTTTCCTTCAAAACCACTTTCTTTTGGTCGCTCTGCTGCTTGACTTTTTAATGTTTCAATGTCACCTCAATTCGCTACTTTTTCTCTCCTCTCCATCTTTTCCAGTTTTTCACCCATAAACTTTTCTAAATTAAAATATTTCAATTATCTCGTTAATTGGCGTGCTTTCAATGCCTGAAAACCTCAGTGAATGTTCGATGCGATTTTCATTGATTGATGGAGTCAAAAACTAAAATTGTCTTCTTATGAAAAAATATATTTTTTATTAAATGCTCTAGTCGGAGTTCTGTCTCTAATTCCAATGCGTGACAAATCAAGGAAAATCGTGATTTTATTCGCATTTCAGGATGAATACCATACATTTTCAAGTTAACCACACGTTTCAAGCTTTCCTCGTTATTTCATCTACATTTTAAAAAATGCAGCTCACGCATTTCAGTTGATCGGCAGCTTGGGTTTTCAATGCATAAAAGGCAGGGAAATTTGCAATTTCAATGACATTTTTAGATATTAAAGAGCGGAGTTTCTCTAATTGACGGACTAACCAGTAGTTATCTACCTTTTCTAGTCTCATTCCTAGATATTTTTGAAGACACTGTCGTCCACTATACCCTTGTATATTTGCTGCGACTGCTTCTAATGCGTGGAAAGTAAAAAAAATATCGTGGTTTTCCTTAGGAATTTCAAGGTAAATAGAGCTAATGGTTCTCTACTCAACGCGTTAACGGCATTTTTTTCTATTTATTTATCTTCGCCGTGTTGAAACTGATTGTTTGGAAACAATCAGTTTCAACACTCAAATATCTGTAGATTTTTTATTTGTGTAATTCAAGTTTATACAGTGTAGCGCAATCATGCGAAGATAAATAACACCAAACACCAACTGCACAATATGCTAACCATAAATTACAAAATATTCTGAACATTTAAGCGAAACACATATTTTGTATAATTGTTTAGGCAGCTTTACTAATATTCCTAAGGATTCCAATTCAATTACTGTGACTTCTTTAGTTTTCCACAGATACAATTTTTATCGTACTATTAGGATTATAATAATGTACAGGGTGTTCCGTAAATATGTTAAAATATTTTAACAGTGTGTTCTTCTAGTCATTTTAGAGAGGTCTTATAGGATAATTTTTTCAATTTGAGGTGTCATTGTTGAGATATTTGATTTTCCAAATAGCGGAAAATATTAGTTTTTGTTGCTTTTCTATGAATCGGTTAAACATAGAAACTTTAATTTTCAATACACATTATAAGCTAATTGAGTGCCATTTTATGGTAGGGTTTTGTGGTTTAGTTTACTTTTATACAGGGTAGAATAGATCTTAGTCTTTAGTTCAGTTGCGTTTGTAGGTGTTCTAGTAAAGTATCTGTTGGGGAACGAAAACGGGAGTGTTTTGTCTGTCTTGTAAAGGGAATTACTACTATTTAAGTTATTTACCAGGTTTTTTACCTTTTATTATTTTTTCGTAAGCGTTTTTAATTACCACAATATGCACGAATGGTCTGCCGAAAATATGAATTCTGTCATGATAACAAAATACCAACATTCGTTTTCTCTCAACGTCTGCGCTGGAATAGTATGATATTTTTTAATTGGACCGCAGATCTTATCTAGACTCTTAGGAGGGGCTGAGTATAAACTTTGTAGACCGTTAGATTGGGAGAGGTCAAAAAGCTCGTATAAAGTGGCCTCCTAGATCTCCCGATCTAAAGGCGCTTGATAAAAATCTGTAAGTAAAAGTATAATAAGTAAAAACTTCTGGGAACATTTAAAAATACGCTATATTCAACAGAAGCGAATGCAATCGAAGAATTTCAGGAAAGAATATTTAATATTTCTAACCAAATAAGAATTTCAGTGCAAACTTTACGGTCTGAAAATTTTAATTTCATTAAAATTTTCGCTGCGATTATGCCAAGAATGGCCATTTTTAATAGCTGCTAAGTTAACATTAGAGTGATTATTTAAATTTAATTTTGTTTGTTTATATCGTTGCATATTGTTACCATGTTATTATTTAAGTAACATTTAATAAAATTCAATTATTGTAATCTGAACCAAAATACACAATTTCGAAAAATAATTTAGGTTGTTAGTAAGTAACTAATAATGCGTACCGAAATTGTTGTATGAAAACGTTATTAGATTTAATAAAATTAACTTAATTATCGTTATTTTTTTGTTGGGTTTTGGTAAAGAATTATTTTTTCACGAATTGCAAATGAAAAGGTTTGAAATTTGTCTGCGTTCTTCACTACACACACATTGTTAATTCGAGCGACAAAAGTCGTCATGCGTCTGCGAGTGCCCTAAATGTTTTCTCTGATCGGTCGCTCTAGTTCTTCCTAATACTGTGCTCTTATCTCTGTCTGGTCATTTCTACTATAGAAAAACCGAATTCTTAACGTCAGTATGACCCACTCCAGGCCCCCGTATTTCTTGCAGAGCGGTGATTTCCATATTCATTCTTTCTATTTATTTAATCGCTTTTATTGCTGCACCCGGTCGATATAAACTGAGCACGTTCGATGTTCCAATAATCATATGTACTTTGCGTTATTCGTCTTTGTATCTCCGTCCTGATCCGATCGTTTGCTTCGGTTGCCTTTTCATAACCCAAACTATCATTGATTTTGTTCTAGCTAGTTCTTTGCATTGCTCTCATGTATCGCTCATATAACGTGATTTTCGGTATATTCCTAAGAGCAATAGAACACACGCGTATCCAATTTATAGACATTAGCAGAATAGTTCAGCAAAAATAGGCGGTTGGCTCGAAAAACTGTTTAATTTGCTGGCTTAATTAATAACATTATCGCATACTGTAAACTATCTTAATATTTGAATAGGATACACTCAGTGCAAATGAATTTCATTTTTCAGCTTGTCAAACAATGAGTGTTGCAATGGCAATGCCAATTAAACCATTAAACTGATAACCCAAATATGAAATCAAACTTCGTCATGCGGTCATAAAAAAAACGCAAAAGTGTATGTATGTAGATCGACATAACGTCGCGTGTAAAAGCATTGTTTATCTGTAAGAAGCGAAAATTTAACAAGCTTCAACATTAATATTTAAACTATAAACGGCTAAATATTTAAAGAATGAATAATTCAACACCATCACATCCTTCAGAAACCTATTACCTAAATGGTTTAAGTAGCAGTTAATAATTTCAAGGCGGTAACAAGCTGCGAATGATAATAATTTAAGGATTTCATATTCTATTATGAATTACCTTACCACACCGGCTTAGTTGCGCTTTCATTACATGTACCTAATACTAATATAGGTTATGTGAACTTCAAATAGAACCTGTTGGATCTTTAGACTTGTTTGATTTTTACCTGGTTGCTAAGTTTACCAGACTGCATTTTCCTTCAATA